TATACATCAAATAACATTCATAAAATAACGCTACACAAGCCAACGTTGTAGTTGCATAAATAAATTAGGCCGGTATTCATAGTCAGATCATATATTTAAGGGTCTGGTTCTTTCTTAATATTCCTTCATTTTCTTCACGCTCTCTTACTTTTCTTCTCTCTTCCTCTCTTTTCTACTTATACTCACTCTCTCTCTCTCTCTCTCTCTCTTTCCTTTTTCTCTTCTCGTCTTCTATCCTGATGGAATACAAAATGTATTAATATACGTATTAATCAATCAATTAATTGTAATATATTAATCAATTAATTAATATGTATTAATCAATCACGGATATATAATAATGTACTTATTTTTCTTTATAACCCATAAATATTTCTATATGTTACAAAAGCTGGTTTTTTCATATCTTGATATTATTGCAATCAAAGAAATCTTTATACTGCATACTAATTAAACACTTAATTTTTATGATGTGCTTTGTATCTCTTTGTATTTCTTGATGTACAACAAACACTTAAAAGTTAAACTATCTAAACGATAAAATAACCGTACTTCCCGAGTCAAACTGTTAAACTGTCAAAATAAGTGCAATAACAGTTACGCAGATACGTGAAATCAGTATAAAAAGAGAGCCAATCGGCATCGCGGAAAAGAGGCAACAATACTTTCGAGATATGCGAGAATCGATGTCATGCACTTTTTCAGATAGGATTTTGTTATTTTTATTAAATTTTTTTAAATCAAATTTTGATCAGTTTTATTTATACATTTTATGTATATTTTATATATGTTTATTTTGAATTTGCACCTTGAATAATATATCAGTTACTTTTCATGTTGGTGATATATTAAAAATTTAGATAATTATTAAAATATAAACATATTGGAGTGTCTTTTTTGGAACTTGGCCAGACCTTATCATTTATGAATTTTTGTGCTATAGTAAGTATAGATACAGTAAACAGTCTGTGAAGTAATATTCACAGTTTTCGATATTCGGTGTATTGCAATATTTTATTTTATAATAAAATATCCTTCTTCCCTGAGTGTCTACAATATAATATACAAGTGTGATTTAATTGCTTAATTTTGAAAAGTAATTGATTAATGTATATAAATAAGAAATAACAATTTTTCAGCATTTTTAAATGTGAAATAAATTTTAGTTTTCAGTACTGCTAACGTACGTAGAATTATTTTTTGCAATATTTGGTAATATGTTCCCAAGAAAATAGTAGTCCTGGTAGTGTATTCATGGTCAAGTTTTTCTTCTGAAAGATTAGAACAAAAAATTAGCAAGTTAATGCAAAAAATATAGTAAATTATCAAAAAACAAAACATTACACTCTCTCTTAATATCAATAAAACATTTTATTGTTAGACATAAAATGAATAAAGAACAGTTATCATTCTCAAACACAAAATAAATAAACAATAGTTATCATTCTCAATAAAATAAAATAATCTCTCATAATATATAAATAAAGAACAGTTTTCAGTCTTTGAGATACAACATAAATATAAATGTTTGAAATACAGGTACAAGAGATAAATGTATTAAATAAGGCAAACAGAAGATTAATGTACGAAATATATAAAATACATAAACACTAAAGTAATAGAACAATACCTTAACAATATTATATTAACTATCAGTCAATAATACTTTATGGAGTATCAAATTGTTACAATCTACCTATTAATTGACATTATAATGCATGGCCATTGTTTTACTGGCATAATTTTTTTTCATTTTTAAAGTAATTTTTTTTTGCGTTTTCAATTAAAAAATAACAAATCGACTTGCAATTTTTCGTTTTAAATTATGGCAATCCGGTATTGTGTAAGGCACAGCTACGAATTTTTCAAGTAAATATCTTTTCAAGTCAATGTTACTTTTAAATAAATTTGTTTTTCCGTACGCTCTAAACATTTCTTCCATTTTTCTAAAAAATTCAAAAGTCAAGTGATTCACAAAAAATAAAGTTTCTTTATCGTAACATCGTAGTGCCGTTAATCTGTTATAATGTGTGAAAGAAGCTTTTTTGTTTCCGACACATGAGAGACAGTAATTACAAGTTTTTTGTGTTTTCGTAATGCTGGTAATAATATATCCAGCTACATGGTGTGAAATATTCAATTCTATTATATCCATAGTAACTTCTGTCTTTATAACATATTCGGTAACTGGTTCATCATCGATTCTGTCTGATAAATTTTTTTAAAATTGTTTAATGATTGTCAAAAAATCAGGTAAAAACTCACGATCATCGTGATTGTAGTTACTAGTAGATATGTTTCTGATATATTGAGATATTGTTGTTAACTTTAAGTTATTTTTAAACTGAAGAGCATTTAAGATACAATGTTTACTACGCAGAACGGAAAAAAGATTTTCAAGACAATCCTGTGTAAATCGGCCACCTAGTACATAAGTGAAATTTTTTTCCCTTAATAAGTATTCGGTCACATCTATTAATGATTGGGTAGTTAAAATCATTCCTTTTTGAAATGACTTCCAATCGCCTTTAACACCAAAACTGAGTTGTGAAATCAAATCTATAAATTCTCTAAGAAAATTAATGATTTCATTATATTTATCCAAATTGTGTCGACTAAGAGCAAATGTAATTTTTCGTGCACTAACAATGTCAAACCATTTACAAATTTGTCTCACCAGCTACGAAGTTGTCTGATATTCAGGTTTCAACGCCTCTGCCAAAAATTATAAGTACTAACTGCGTGGCTCATAACATGACAGGAACTTTTAACTCTCATTTTTAAAAAATGTGATGATCTGTCGAGATATTCTGGTCGCAATTTCGGTGCCAAAAGCAATGAAGTGTTTTTTTGACGGTCTGATAATTCAGTAAAATGTGCTGAAAGTGCTGCATTCGTAATCGGTAAATTATATTTTTCTACGTATATTTAGGAATCGAGATGTGTACTTGTGGTTAAGCATTCCTTCTTTAAAGTTTTTTAACGCGTGTGAGCTATCGTGAAAAAAAAATAAGTGTCGAGTCTCATCATATGGGTGTACACATTTATTTTTATTTACAGAATGACGTGAGACATTGATGTTAAATTCTCTCCACATTGCTTGATTGGCTGAACCCATGTCAGAAACAATCTCTTGAACGAACAATCCTATTTTCTCTGCTTTCTGAATAATTTCAAGAATTATATTTTTATACACGGAACCGTTTGTATTTTTGGCTGTATAATAATAAGCCACAGTTTGTTTCCACCTGTGCCCTATGCTTGCTAGCATAAAAACTAAGCCATTGGTCGCAATTTTGTTGTTATTATGCTCGGGTAAAGTTACGCGTCCTATACATATGTATTAGTGGATATGTCGAAAACGGTACCTGCTGATATATTTATTTCATCAAGCACAAGTAAACAATCTTTATCTCTATCATTTTTCAATTGCGAGACTTTAATTTGTAAAAATTCGAAAACTTCATGAAAAATTTCACTCTGAAATTTTAAATTTTCAAGTTTTCGATTGAGTGTTTGCAATGAAGGAAGTGGAAAACCGTGCTTTAATAGTTCTTTGTAGCCAGATAACCCGCATGAAAATTTCAATTGATAGGCTTTGACTAAAGTGGAATCACACCATTTTGGCATTCTTTTATACCTACACCCCAACTTTTTTATTTGGTCATCATTGAATATATATATTCTTTAATGCACTCGAAAAATGTTTTTGTATACCTACTTCTTGTTGCAATTTTGTTATTTTTTTCCTGTATTTTCTTTGTAGGCGTTTGTGCTTCTTCTTCATTGCAAACCTCAATCTTTCTGATTTTTGCAACTTTTTTTGCAGTTGTTCAATGACTTCGGAATTGCCTGAAGTAATTGACTCATCTTCAGTTTCTCCCTTGGTTTCATCCGTTACAACGTGATCGTCTTCATATAACATTTCGTTACTGGTAGTATCTGGATCATAATTTTCAAAGTTACGAGTTTGTGTGTTGGGTGTTGTCTTATCGGAAATATTTGTTACTGGATTTCTTGCAATTTCGGATTTGCTTTGTAATATTTTTACTTCTTTATTTGCCGATACGGTAAACACCGATATAACTTCTTCAATTTCAGTAGACACTGTTGGCACTGAAAACAAATAATATTTTACACAACTCTGTTAAAAATTTTAGTCTTAATTAGAGAGGGAGAGGGAAAGGTTGTAAGAAGTTTTCGTAAACAAAAATGTAAAAACTTGATCACATACTCTATACATACTACTGTACTAAATCGACTATATAAAGACCACTAATTTTTCTTCCTACACGTAAAAATATATATTCATTTCATTTTTTTAAATATATTATCCGCTAATAAATCGATTAGCTTTTTGGAGTACACGATCAGTGATCGAAGATCTAAAACTTCTATGTAACTGTGCATTATCAAAATACGATTTGCGGATACGTTATCGCACGTAGTATTATATATTTTTTTTTTAATAACACTCTTTCACTACAATTTTTGTGAACTATCTTTTTTACTTACCATTAGTGATTTTCTGATGCTCTTGCTGAGTCACAAGTTCACCAAATATTGTTGGCACCGCAGACGATTTTAATTTTTTGGATCCATCAACTCGCTTTTTCTCCCACATGCCAGCTGTAAAGTGAAACTGAAAAATGGAAGTATTTAACTTAGCTTTTTTATTCTATTACTGATCTGCAGTCATTGATTTTAGTAAATAATTTTTTAAATTATATAAAAGTAGAAAAACCATAACGCACCTCGCATAATGCAGCACAATAATTAAACTTTTTATTTTCCATTCCACAATTTGCCAGCCATGTACGTAATCGCTGTGGATCTTTTGGAAAATTACACATTTTTGAACCATTTGCGTTTGAATTCCTGCAGCCTTTTGCAACACACGTGACCATTGTAAAAATATTCTGAATAGACAATTAAGCATTTTAAGTGTTTAAAATTGGTATTTTAGTAATTGTGAATAATTATAAAAACAATAACTTACCTTACTTAATAATTTACTTAATATTACTATTTTGCTTAATAACTTACTTATAATTAAAAAAACATAACTATTTTGACTTTACATAAATCATGAATATAAATTTCACAAAAGTAAGGTTATGCCCATGCGTGTCAAGTACTCAGAAGGCTTCGCTGCCGGAAACTGATCGTAAAATGGCGAAACCAATCAAAGAGAAGAACCAGCATTGACTTCACTCTCCTTTTACCCACTCTAGTTCCTCACTCTCTCTCTCTCTCTCTCTCTCTTCTTTT